GTCTTGTTTTGACTATTTTCTCTCCAGTTTATTCCTGGATTGAGCTTTGTCTCTTGCGAATGATATCCTGTGGATCTCTCTAGGCTGTGAAACCTAGATGGAGAGTGCATTTATTTTGCAATGTAAATACTTGGTCTCCTCAAGAAGGATTTACTCATGGTTCCCCATTGAAGATGAACTTTATTCCCCAGTAGTGTTATCACAACCTTCTTCTGGAATATCGACATGACAACAAGCGACTGACTCTTTATTTGAGCAGTTTGATTATTTCTGATTTCTCTACGACAAATGGTGGTCTCTTCATGAGCAGTTTGTCCATCCTCGATGAAATTATTGATTCTCACCTCCAGCAATATCTTCATGATATTTTATGGGTATCTTCGAGAAAACAGCAAGCGGCAGTTTCTTCATGAGACAACTTGTGTGTTATGGATACTCTTGACAAACAGCAAACGACAAGCGGCGGTCTCTTCATGAGCAACTTGTACGTTATAGACATCGTTGGAAAACAGCAAGCGGCGGTCTCTTCATGAGCAACTTGTGTGTTATTGATGCCTTTGAAAGAAACAACAAGCGGCGGTCTCTTCATGAGCAACTTGTATGTTACTGATACCTTTGAAGACAACAAGCGGCGGTCTCTTCATGAGCAACTTGTGTGTTATTGGTAATTTTGAAAAGAAACGGCAAGCGGCGGTCTCTTCATGAGCAACTTGTACGTTATAGACATCGTTGGAAAACAGCAAGCGGCGGTCTCTTCATGAGCAACTTGTGTGTTATTGATGCCTTTGAAAGAACAACAAGCGGCGGTCTCTTCATGAGCAACTTGTATGTTACTGATACCTTTGAAAACAACAAGCGGCGGTCTCTTCATGAGCAACTTGTGTGTTATTGGTAATTTTGAAAAGAAACGGCAAGCGGCGGTCTCTTCATGAGCAACTTGTACGTTATAGACATCGTTGGAAAACAGCAAGCGGCGGTCTCTTCATGAGCAACTTGTGTGTTATTGATGCCTTTGAAAGAACAACAAGCGGCGGTCTCTTCATGAGCAACTTGTATGTTACTGATACCTTTGAAAACAACAAGCGGCGGTCTCTTCATGAGCAACTTGTGTGTTATTGGTAATTTTGAAAAGAAACGGCAAGCGGCGGTCTCTTCATGAGCAACTTGTACGTTATAGACATCGTTGGAAAACAGCAAGCGGCGGTCTCTTCATGAGCAACTTGTGTGTTATTGATGCCTTTGAAAGAACAACAAGCGGCGGTCTCTTCATGAGCAACTTGTATGTTACTGATACCTTTGAAAACAACAAGCGGCGGTCTCTTCATGAGCAACTTGTGTGTTATTGGTAATTTTGAAAAGAAACAACAAGCGGCGGTCTCTTCATGAGCAACTTGTGTGTTATTGGTAATTTTGAAAAGAAACGGCAAGCGGCGGTCTCTTCATGAGCAACTTGTACATTATAGACATCGTTGGAAAACGACAAGCGGCGGTCTCTTCATGAGCAACTTGTACGTTATAGACATCGAAAAACAGCAAGCGGCGGCCTCTTCATGAGCAACTTGTGTGTTACTATTATCTTTGAAACGGCAAGCGGCGGTCTCTTCATGAGCAACTTGCGCGTTATTATTATTTTTGGAAAACGACAAGCGGCGGTCTCTTCATGAGCAACTTGTGTTATTTTTCTCTTGAAAAACATCAAGCGGCAGTCTCTTCATGGACAACTTGTATGTTATCAACACTTTTAAAAACAGCAAGCGGCAGTCTCTTCATGAGCAACTTGTATGTTATTAATACCTTTGAAAGATAGCAAGTGGTGTCCTCTTTATTTGAGCAGCTTGTGTATCCCCAACAATAATGCCTACTCAGCAAATGGCATCCCTTTCGGAAAAGTCCCGTGGGGAAGTTTGTTATTTTATCATTTTTAAGCGATATCTCGGTTAAAGAAGAAATGTGTTACCGTTCTTGGTAAAATTCAGAAATCAGAGATGTTTATCTCCAGCCACAGTGCTGATGTCAATCATTTTGTTTCCCAGCCACAGTGCTGATGTCAATCATTTTCCAGTCTCAGTACTGATGTCCATCATTCCCTTTTCCAGTCACAGTACTGATGCAAATCATTTCTTTTCCAGTCTCAACACTAATGTAAATCATTCAAGAGTCTCTCATTTGAAGTCTATGACTTTGTTTCCCCAGTGGAGTTACAACCTCTTCCTCTGTAGGATTACTGTATAATGTGCTTGGTTTCTCCAGCACAGTCTGTCTCATATGGCGTCATTCCCCATAAAATTCAAAATATCACATTCATATCATATCATAAACATAATTGCGGTATCTTAAGGCCAAAAATTGTGTATTCTATATTTAAGTCCCTTCAATCTCGTCGAAATGAAGATCCCAATCTTCATATCTCTAGATAGAAGAAACTTAAATAGGGGCAGCTGTTGTACCCCAATTTTTGACCTAAGATCCCATTTTTATTTGTGCATTTTAAAGATAAGTCAAGGTCACGAAATACGGTCGATTTTAACGTCTCACCTTCGAGCTTTGACTATGTGAAGATTGTCAAGTGTTTTGAACATTTTTAGCCTATGTATCACTAACTTCTAATCAAGCACGAAGTGTGTGTTTTTTGCTTCTTTGATTTCATTTGCAGGAAACAGATCTGAATCAAGAGCATCAGGCGTCATGCCTCGATTAGGGTTCAGAATCTCTCAAGCCAGAAGTACAGTTGATCGTTGATTTTTGAAGACTGATTCATCAGTGGAATCGTGTGTTTATTTCCACGCCTTGTTCGACAAGTGGTCTCGAGCTTCTCTACAACTCTCTCAGAGCACAGACAAGATTTCATCATCACTGGTTCACGTGTGCTTCAATGTGTCTTGGAATGCAAGAAAAGATCAGGCTATGTGAGATGATTTAGAGCACTTCGACCAAAATTCAACTTTTTGCAAGATCAAGTTCAAACGATCATAACTTCTTCATTATTCCATATTTTTGAGTGGTTCTTTTTGCATATGACTCTCCTTGATGTCATCTCCCACTCCTCTTTACAAGTCAAGAGTTGATTATGTGCGGAGGATCATCAAAAGTTCGGATACTTAGAGGTCACTTTGATGACTATGGCCTAATCTCAAGTAACAATTACTCGACTTTCAAGGATCGTAACTATTTCGATTTTTCATCATTTCGGGATGGTTCTTTTTGCAACATATCACAAATGATGTCATCTACAAGATTGCTTCAAGGATCGACATCCAAATGCGTTTGGAAGGCCATGAAATTCGCTTGAACATTTTAGACTTAGAATTGATTTTGTGTTGAGATTGTTCTCCACTAAGTCAAGGGTAAAGGCAAGATGTTGAGTTTGAGGATTCATTGATTATATTGCTATAATACAAGTTGCTTGTATTCGAGCATTAGTAATTAGTGAATTAAAATTGGATATAGATCAAGTTTCTTTGTTTGTTCATCAAGATTCGGTTCATGGTAAAAGGTTTAGGTGTTTTATTTGGAATGCATTTCAAGGTAAAAAAAGACCATTCAAGGAATCCAAGTTCATTCAATTCTAAATTCAAGAGTTTATGAAAGACATTCGAGTCTTATTTGACTAAAATGTTATTCAATAATTATTTCAAGTCCAGACTTTATTCAAAGTTCAATTTCAATTCAAGTCTCATTTAATCATATTCAAATTCAAATTGTGCAAGATTCTTTCAAGGTTCTTTTCAAAAGTGATACTCTGTATTAATTCAAGATTCATAATGCACCGGCAATGTCTCAATCCGTGGTCGTATTATAGCTGGTACTTGTCATAGTGCTAAGATGAATAGGACCATCATTGTTAGGAGAAATTATCTTCATTTCATCAAGAAGTATCAGAGATATGAGAAGCGTCATTCTAATATCCCTGCACACGTTTCACCTTGTTTCCGAGTGAAGGAAGGAGATCATGTTATTATTGGCCAATGCAGGCCACTATCAAAAACAGTCAGGTTCAATGTATTGAAAGTTATCCCAGCTGGATCTTCTAAGCTTGCAAATGAAGACTTGCCAAATCCTTGCTAAAACCTGCCCAAACCACTCAAAAAACTATCCCTGCTATGCTGTTGTTCGGAACAGTCCAATGTTGCTGTCTATCTCTAAATTTCCCTGCAACAATAGACAAAAAAAACAATATCAAAACATTCCCGAAATGTGCAAAAAAGACTGCTGCTGTATTCTGCTCCAATCTCTGCATCATCCATGCTGTATGCTGCTCAAAAATTCTGCACAAATAATGCCAAAAAGCTCCTGTCAAACCTGTCCAAAAACAGTATAAACTTTCACAAAAATAGGAAAAGCAAATCCTGCATCAAAAAGGAAGAATCAGCACATCATATTTTGTCCAAGACTCACAATTTTTCCCTCCAAAAAATTCATTCTGAAGGGGGGAAAACAAAGTAAAAATCGGGAGAATTTTCTAATAACTTGGCTCCAGGTTGGGAACAAGCTTCAGGGAGGACCTGCTGTCAAAAAAACAAAAAGCAACAGTAACTAACTCTCATCTCCCTCATCTCACAGCTCCCTCCATACGCGCCCCCACCCTTCAATGTTCCTCTTCTTCCATTATCTTCCACCCACAACTTGTTATCACCATCTTTTCTATCAACCTTCAAACTGACCTTCATTCAAACAACCACATCGACATTGTCCTCTACCACCTGTCACCGCCGGTACACAATCCAGCATGCTCTCTCACTGTTAGACCAACTCAATCTCTCTGCAATACAAACATCATTACATATACTTCACTTCAAAACCTATGCAATAACAACCATTAACAAGGTCTCTGCTGGAAATTATTGTAACAACTTGTTACTAACACCAGGGTGGTTATTTGGGTTATATCTTTGACTGTGGGTTAGTGTTATCATCAACTGAACTTGTGTAAATGGGGTGTGTGTTATCAAGTATTGATGAGGATGGAAGAGTTGGCATACGCAAGCAAAGGAAGAAGAAAAATGGCAAGTGAGAAGAACAAGGTAAAGCGAAAAGGAAATGATGAAAACGACGACGACAGAATCAAAAAGAAAAACAAAAGTACCGAATCAAACGAAGAGCCACGGCGTTTTTTTCGTGAACCAATTCCAAGTTGCTAATCAACCATCATCACCGTAACCACCTAATGCATCAGCTCCACCTCTTCAGAAGATTAAAAGAATCGAACCACCCATATCCATATCACCTAGTCCTAGTCCAAGCACCAAATCGTTAACTCCACCGTATAAGGCTGTTCCGGCACCATCAACTGCTGAAAGGAATTTTCCACCATCCATACAGCCAATTCCACCTCAAAGGAAAGCACCTACTTTTAGTCCTCTCATATCCTCACCAATTGCTCCAGCTCTTGTTACAATACCTCCTGAAATTTTGCCTAAAACTTCACCTATCAGTCAACCAATCGAACATGGCAGTTTGCCTCCTAAGGTTGATAAGAGGAATGAAAGTAAAAGTCACAATTTAGAACCAGTTTCACCAGGTCCTTTTGTACAACCTCCAGTTGCATTACCACCGCTTACTCAACTCCATAACCAATGATGCTCTCAGAAGCATTTCATCAAACACCACCGGCACCTCAGCTACAACCTCTTACGACCAAACTCGTCTGACCACCGTGCAGCCTTCATCCGGTTGAACATCTCAGCGTCACACTGTTGCTACAGATCTACGGCCAACGTGAGTATAGCCACACATCGCTACCGCTGTAAAACATCCAGGCAGCTCTGCCATCCTCATCACGTTCATCCATGAAAATAATCACCATCGATTCCGGCAACAACCTCCTCCGCCGCTAACCCCAACCCTGTTCCGCGATTTCCAGCGCCTCAACCACCATCAATGCATGAACCCAACCTCCCTTATTCCCCTCTCTAACAAATCATAACAATTAATTTCATTTCAGGAAAAAGAAGCTAAGAAGGAATCATTCAGAAAATATCTTGAATCAAGTGGAGCCGTTGATGCTCTAACCAAAGTTCTTGTTGCCTTGTATGAGCAAAACGACAAACCTTCTTCTGCTCTTGAGTTCATTCAACAGAAGTTAAGTTGCCCTTCAAATTCCGGTTCTTCTCGCTACTACTGAATGGGATGAATGCCAGTCCTGGTTAGATCTCTCTGTTTCCCTTTAATTTCCAGCCTAGCGAAATTCTGCATATACCCCCTGTATTAGCTTTACACCATTTGTTTTAATTTGTTTAGTTTAATATTAATCTTCTCAACTTTATATTTTAATTAATTAGTTTAATTTTGTTCTTTTTAATCTTCTTAACTTTATAATTTTCAATTAATAAGTTTAGCCTTAGAATAAGTTAGTAATTTTGGAATTTATTTTAATATTTGTTTTAGTTTGACTAACATTTGTATTTAATTTTCTTAGTTAAATTTTTTATTTCATGCATGATTCTTCTTTGTCTCTTTAATTAAACTCTCGTTGTCTTTTGTCATTAATTGTTTGCTTAGATTTTTTTTCTTGTAGATCTTTGAGTGCTTATGCTTTGGTATTCATTTTACTGTTTCTTGCTTGCTTAAACTCCAAGGGAAAGAATTAAATTTGTTGACTTCATGTCATCGAGTATCTAATACGATTGTGTGAACCCCTTCATACCCTTTTAATTTTGTAAATCTTAAGTTAAATCTCCTCAAAACCTAATTTCAAACTCACACCTTTTAAGTCAAAACTTCGACACTAGGTCGTCGTATCTTCAAAATCTCGTCCATACCCATCTTTTAGCCAAACGAATCATTTTAAATCAAACAAACAATTTTAAACCAAAAAACAGATATTTCAAAAGGTTCCTGCGGAATACCGCAGATGCATTGGGTGCTAATACCTTCCCATTGTATAACCAACCCCCGAACTCTCGATCTCTTTCAAAAACGCATTGTATTTTTATTACTTTTAAGTATTATTTTACATTGCATATTTTAGGGTTTTATTTCGCTCTTTTCCCTTTTCCCTTGGAAATAATAAAGCGCGGTGGCGACTCTTGCTTTTGTGAGTCAAGTTAATTAATAGCTTGATCTCCGATTTTCACCGCTACACTATGGAAGTTCAGAAGATACCTGGTTTGGATTTCGGAGAATTGGTACTGGTATCGGGAGTGGCCATCCCTCATAAATTCAAAGCTCCGGTTTTTGCCAAGTATGATGGAGTGTCCTGTCCAAAACTTCATCTCCGCTCGTATGTCAGGAAAATTCAACCCCACACTGCTGATAGAAATCTGTGGGTGCACTTCTTTCAAGATAGTCTGTCAGGGACTCAGCTTGAATGGTTCTACTAGTTAGAGGGAGCCAGTGTCTGAAACTAGGAAGATCTTGCTGCTGCCTTTTACAAGCAGTATCAGTACAATGCCGACCTTGCTCCCACTCGTACTCAACTCCAGAGTATGTCCATGGTTACAGGTGAAGGTTTTAAAGATTATGCTCAAAAGTGGAGAGACTTGGCTAGAAGAGTCCAACCCCCGTTGTCTAATAGGGAGTTAGTTGACATGTTTCTAGGGACGTTATCTGGTCCATTTTTCAATCACTTGATCGACAGCTCGTCGTCTGGTTTCACTGAGTTTATTTTGACTGGAGAAAGAGTAGAAGCTGGCATTCGAAGTGGTAAAATACAGAAGGATGCCTCTTCGAGTTCGGTAAAGAAGCCTTTCACTTGTAAGAAGGAAGCTAATGCAGTCTATAGCCTGAGGGGCCAAAGCAGATCTGAACACCGTCAAATGGTAAATGCTGTAGTGATACCAAGACCCACAGTTGCTCCACAATGCAACAATCAACAAAGGTTGGAAAGACCACAGAGGCAGTTTACCCGCATCAACATGACTTTGGCTGAGGTTCTGCCTTATCTGTTAAAATCCAACTTGGCGACCTTAAGAGAGGCTCCCAAGAATACAAACACTACTTCTCCCAGATACAATCCCAACGCTCGATGCGCCTACCATTCTGAGAGTCTAGGCCACGATACAAACGATTGCTGGGCTCTGAGGAACAAAGTACAAGACTTGCTCGAAGCCAAGGAGATAGAGTTTGATGCTCCAGAAAAGCCGAATGTTATAACTGCTCCCATGCCCAAACATGGTTTTGGAGTTAATGATGTTGATACCAATTTGTTTATGACCTTTGTTGAAGAAATTTCTACTCCTCTTATGACTGTTAAGAAGAGTTTGTTGTTGTCCGGTTTATTTCTAGGTTGTGGTGAAGGTTTCCACATGTGTTCAATATACCTACTGGTTGTCGTTTGTTGAAGTCAGGTGTTCAGCGCCTGATGGATAATAAAGAGATTTTGTTCGAGAAGACTATGATTCCCGTTGTTCCCGCTGAAGACGTTTCCATTATAACCATTTCCGCAAATCCTTCCAAGGTTTCCTCGAGAAGACCTGTTAGGGTTACACCTGTTCAAAGAGTTGCGCCGCTAATAATCATTGTTCCTGGTCCCATCCCGTACACCTCAGACAAGGTCGTCCCATGGAATTATGGTGCTGATGTGTATTACCATGGTGTTAAGCAAGAGCTGAAGAATGAAGAAGCTGATACTGATGTCAGTAATATTGTCGGGACTAGTAAGGTTACCCGAAGTGGAAGGGTCTTCTCTCCCGAGATTTCCCCGAAGACTATCATCAAGCCTACTGTTATCCCAACTGCTGCTCCAACCAACACTCCTAACATTTCTCCTATTCCTACTCCAGTTATTACACCTACTACTATTCCTATTCTTACTCCTGTTATCACCCCCGCTGCTGAGCCATCTGGGACTCGGGGCAAGGAAATCATAGGTGAGCCTGCCCGGACGGAGGCACCTAAGAAAATCGTTGTGGAGGCCTCTAAACAAGAAATAGAGGAAATACTGAAAATTATCAAGAAGAGCGACTACAATGTGGTCGAGCAGCTGGGGCATACCCCGTCAAAGATCTCCATGTTGTATTTGCTGTTGTGTTTTGAAGCCCATGCGAAGGCTTTGATTTCATTTCTCAAGACTGTGCATGTGCCACAGGAAACTTCAACAAATCAGTTCAAAGATTGTGTGGCTAGCCTGACAGCTGACAATGGGCTAGGCTTTTCAGATGCGGATATGACACCTAAGGGGAGGAATCATAATGATGCTCTGCATGTCTCGATTGAGTGTAGGGGCACCACTATGGATCATGTGCTAGTAGATACCGGGTCTTCGCTGAATGTTCTGCCAAAGAAAGCGTTGGACCGTTTCGATTGTGAGGGTTTGACCTTAAAGCCGAGTAACACTGTGGTAAGGGCTTTTGACGTATCGAAGAGAATGGTCCACGAAGAGGTGGACATCCCTGTTAAAGTGGGTTCTAAGAATTTTGGGTCCACCTTCTACGTAATGGATATCAAGCCATCGTATTCTTGTTTGTTGGGTCGTCCTTGGATCCATAGGGCTGGGGCAGTTACTTCCACACTCCATCAAATGATGAAGTATCCGGTGAAAGGAAAGATCGTCACAGTGCGAGGTGAAGAAGAGTATATGGTGAGTCATCTCATTTCCTTCCGCTACGTGGAGATGGACGGGGAATTCATAGAAACTCCTTGTCAGAACTTCGAAGAGGTCCCTCAGACTTTGGCGTCAACTAAAGTTACTACCAACAAACCTCCGCTAAAGATGACTTCTCTCAAGGATGCCAGGGCTGTAATTGAAGAAGGTGGGTGTACCAATTAGGGTCAACTCCATGATTTCACTCACAAAACTGACAAATTTGGTTTGGGCTTTACTATAGGGGCTCAAAGGGCTGTTAGGCACGCACGGATTGGAAGACCTCCTCTACACATCAGTAATCGGGGAATTAATGTAATTGAGGATAGTGAAGAAGATTCAGACATCGACAGCTGGATCTACCCAACAACCAACGGTGGACTGAATAACTGGGCGGCGAAGGACTTCATACTTATTTCTTTTATTCCGCAGTAATTGAATTTTGTTTTAAGATTTGTAATTAACAATTTGAAACTTTACGGCCCGGTGCCTTGCCCGAGGCACCTTGGCTTTGCTTGTGAGGGCTATTATTTGTCATTTCATATATCATTAATAAAACATTGGACGTTTCTTGCATTACAAATTTTGCGCTCCTTGTTTTTCTTTTCTGTCTCTCACTTTATCAAAACAGCTATTCTCTTACACACACTCACGTATCATATTGCAGATCCATATCCACTATGGATCCCATTGATAACAACTCTGCTACTGCCAATTATGACTTCAAAAATCCGATCAACCAAGTCGAGGACGAAGGTGAGGATGATTGTGAGGTGCCTGGAGAACTTGCTAGACTGTTACAGCAGGAAGAAAGGGCCATACAACCTCATGAAGAGCCATTTGAGTAAGTGAATTTGGGTACAGAGGAAGACAGGAAAGAGGTTAAGATAGGTGCGAATCTGGAGACTAGTATCAAACAACGGTTAATACAGATGCTACACGACTATGTTGAGATCTTTGCCTGGTCCTATGAAGACATGCCTGGTTTGGACACTGATATTGTGGTACATCGCCTACCGACTAAAGAAGACTGCCCTCTGGTAAACCAGAAGGTCCG